ATGCATGTGCCATCTCAAATTCATTTCAACCAATACTCACACACCTACATGCATATATTCCACAATGCTGCTACTCTATCAGCTCACAACACAATGCTTGTAGTTATATCAAATATTTGTAAACAATTTCACAAATAAACATGTAAAAGGGTTACTCCAATTACTTTTAACCCTTGCTACAAAAGGTTGCCAACCACACTAAACTCTTAGGGGAGCAGATTCTCATGAGCAATTTCATAAGTGCTCAATCTACATAACACAATACCTCTCGATCAATTTTCAACTTTTCACATAGGTATTGATTCAGCTCAACAAAATCCCTTAACACATAAAACAATCCAATTGAACCCTTTTGAATTTACTTATCCATTATTTATAATCATTAGCCCTATAGACTACTCAAACAATCATAACAACTTCATAACTTATTCATTTACCCAATTTCACCCTTTTAACTTAACTTTTAGGCTATTTTGAGCTTAAACTCTTAAAGCTCAACATTCAATTCCATACTAGTTACAAAATCTTAGTTTTGTATTCGATAACTTGTTTTGACCCTTTCTTTTAGATTACAACACTTCAGAACTTTATGATTCAATTACTCAACTGATAAAATTCAATAAAAAAGGAGTAGAATTGAAGTTTGGGATTGTGCAATACTTACTCACTAAGTTACTAATTGAAGTAAACTCTCAAGCTCTAATTATGGCTTACCCTAGTAGAGATGGACTCCTCTTTCACCCCAGATGCATTTCCAACTCTTTCACTTCTAATTTCACAAGCTGATATGATCAGCTTTAAGTAATCCATGGACAATAGGCCATGGTGCGCGGCCCAGTGAATTCAATCTCACTTGTGCTCACATGTTATGCCTCAGGTTGTCTTTTTACCCTTCAATCATATCAATACAACATCAAATCAACACAAACCACTAACATGACACCTAAACCATAATCAATCCTTTAATTACTAATTTATCCTTGATTACCAACTAGTTCTTGGGATTGAAATTCAGGATGTTACAACATGTGCACCGTATGCTACAATGCGTGGTGTAGATTTAGCATAAAGACTCGAAAATGTTCAAAAGAATAGAGGAAAAGGTGGGGAAAGCTTAGGGCATAAAGGAAGAGGAGGAGGAGGGCTCTATTAAGGTATGGATTTGGACAAGGTTAAAGGCTTATTTGGACCTTCAATCATCTGGATAAGACTTCTAACAATCTTCACTACCTTTCTACCTTAGTTTTCTTAGATTTTGAAGATTGGCTGTTTGGGTTCTAAGTTAAAGGAGGATTATACTTAAACCCTAGGTCTTGCATGTGGTTGTGGAAGCTTGATTTAAGCTTCTTTGAGTTGAATAAGTATTAAATTAAGCTTGAAATGTTTGGAATTAGGTTTTGGATGAACTCTAGGTAAATTTAGGATTGTTGGAGTTCTGTGAGCTAAAATTAAAACATGAATTAACCTTGTATAGGCTAAATTAAGATAAGATGAGGATGTAAAAGCTTTGAATAGCTTAATAGTAGTGGCTTTGATTGTTGGGTACTAAATTTAGTTAATTTGGCTAAAGAGTGCTTATATTAGGTATAAGAGATAAACGTATGGTGCTTGAAATTGTAGATTTACATAATTTGGTGCTTTTACTAGTCACCAGGACCATTCAAGCAAATGTTACACCATAGCTAACCTTTTTGTTAAAAAAAGGAGTTGAAGTAATTGGATAATTCATTCTGTCTATTAATTAAATTAACTATTTATACATGAATGTGAATGGTATGGTATGTGATTTTAATCAATGGCATGATTTGTAAACTTGCATGATTTTGTATTTGAAAGGAAATTTAATTACAAGTGAATTATTTGTGAAAGTGGATTTAAATGTGAACTATATATATATATATATATATGGAAAATGATATGCATATATTTGCATCATTTTCATTAGAGATGGTGGGAGTTTACCCTGTAATGAAGAGGTATGCATGAAATCCAAATGGATGTGGTGACACCAGGGGACCCATAGTACAGCAATATTAGGGGACTATACCATGAAAAATATGGATGATCTGGCAATTCCCTAGTGCCATTAAGGGTGTAGTTAGAAGTTAACGACACCCTGATTACTCATAATAGGGGGAATTCATAATCCCAAAGTGGGATAGAACACCTTGGCCTAGTGGTTCACCTACGAAAGGTTAAGCAAGGACTAAATCTCTTGGGAGATGGTTAAGGTTGCCTACGAATTCAGTTGATGATGTACAAAGGATGAATGGATTAGGATGATCATGTGTGTGTGTAGAAATGATTTGGTGAAATAGTTATACATAATATTTATACACTTCGAAATTAAGAAAGATAGAGTTATAGTTACTTGTTTATGGTTATTCTCTTTATAGATAGTTTTGAATTATCTTAGCTACTGAGATGTTTATCTCACCCTGTGAATTTATATTTTATAGGTTTTGAGATGAAGGGAAGATAAGGAAAAGAATAAGAAAAAGAGTAGCCAGACTAGTAGTGTAATGTCCTTTATTATTATAGTCTATGTATTTGAATGTATATAAAGTTAAGGTTGCAAATTAGGAATTCTTCTATTTGAGTAATGTATATGTAATACATTTGATACTCTCGTCGAGTTGTATGCTATGGCGTACAAAGTGTGTTGTATGGGTGTAGTGAAATTGGGTTTTACACTTATAGTATATAGAATATTTAGTAGAATTAGCCTAAATTGTATATTCATTACTTCACTTACGGTAAAGGCTAATTTTTGGTTATAAGTGCAAAATGTGTTGATTTGTGTGTGTTACGTGAGATGTGATATGAATGCATGAATAATAGTATTGCACTTATATATTATGTAGATTTGGGGTATTTAACCCAAAGTGGATTCTGTTATGACACTTGAGGCAAAGGCTAAAATTCTGATACAAGTATAAGCTATTGGTGTTTGTGTATAATAATGAGGATTGTATGTCATAGGTTGTGTAAATTTGGCCTAGGGATGAGATTGGGGAAAATTTCATGGAAGAGCCCTATTTATGTGAATTTAGGGCATTGAGTGGCCAAATCTTAGTTTTAATATGTTATTGGTTGTTTAATTGTTTAATTAGGTGCATAATGGTCATTGGATTTGGTTCAAGCCTCAAAATGAATTAATGATATAAGTTGTTAGTTTTAGATATTCGGATGCTTGAAAATCATTTTAAAATCTGATTTTAGAATTCGGCTATCTAAAATTCTCATACAGTATTAGATTGGAATGAAACTTGTACATTAGTTAACTTATTGAATACGTTTCGCGTGGGTACTTGAATCACTCCAATTAGATATTGAATGTAAAAATGGCACATGTTGAAAATTCATCCTAAAAAGCTGTCATGATACCACTATGATGTCATAAAGTGGTACGTGCACCATGGCATGTTTGTATAACATCCTTAAATTTCAAACCAGATTAATTAAGCCTAAATTAGATTAATTGAGTTTATTAGAGAGGTGTGTGGCTAGAAAGGCCTAACGGAAATTTTTGGTTATTTTTCTAGCCCTAAACATTGATATGAAGGAAGTCGAGTCACTTGGGGATGAAAAGAGGAAGAAAATCTGAATAAGTAAGCTTTAGTAGATATTATGATTCACTTGTTGTCTTTGCTAATGGTGCAATATAGTGGTTAAATCGAGTATTCTATGCATGATTGAATAAGTAAGCTTTAGTAGATATTAAAGGGGAGACATTTGTATATACACAAGGAGCTTAAATACTCACAATGGCATCTAGTGTTTCAGGATCCTTATTTGGTACATGATTGTTATAAATGGTGCCAATAGTTAGATAATTAATTTGTTTGTGTTTGAACTCTTGAATCACCTCAATTAGAGGTTCAAGTGATTAGTTATGTATGTGTAAAGGTTAATCTTTGCATGCTATCATTGCTCTACTATAAATGTGAGGTTCTCCATAGCCAATGATATGAGTGGGTGCGGTGAGTTTGGAGGGCCATAATTGTTCTTTCACATCAAGCTTGTGTACAAAGAAAAGAAGAATATCGTCTAATGATCAAGCTTTAATTGTTAAATACTTAGCAAGTGTTTTGTTATTTTTCTTGATACTACCAATATTAATGTTTCACTACTAACATTGTCATTATCTATAATAACACTCACTTCAAAGATAAAAAATAAAATTTTAATTATTAATTTTTAAAAGCTAAAATCTCATTATAATATTGCACATTCTTTTTCAAAATACAACTTATAATGTTAAAAAATAAATAGTAAAAATTCTAATTTTAAAGCATAAATATATATTTTAAAGTTTAAAATCAATTTAAAAATTTAAAAAATTTTATTTTTTAAATGTAAAACAAAAAACACTACTCAAGTTTGAACTATTGAAATCCAACTCACTTAAAATTTCTTAAATTAAAAAGTGGATGTACTTAAGAATAAATATGTTAGTGTATAGGCATTTTAATAAATGTTACTGTTTTCAAATTATATATAATACATATTTTTGGAGAATCCAATGAACTTTCTAAATAAAATTTGATGTTTAATAAATTTTTTGAAAATTAAATTATAAATTAAAAAAATGTAATTATAAATATGACATTTAAATTTTAAATATAAGCCTCAATTTGTGATAATTAAACTTTAAATTAAAGAAAATTTTTTTGAGACTTAAAGTGCTATTATTGTATGCTTTTGACCTTTTATTGTCACTTTTTCTTTCATTTCTCGGCAAGTTTTCAAAAAAATATTATTAGATTATAAAATTTAAAGAATATACCCCTTGACACGCCATGTCGATATGTGCGAGTGGTTAAGGAGACAGACTTGAAATCTGTTGGGCTTCGCCCGCGCAGGTTCGAGCCCTGCTGTCGACGTTTAATTTTTTCATTTTAACTTACATCCAAAATTTTAGTTAGTGAGTTCGGACTTCAGAGCGGCGACAGAGCCCTCGCAGACAGAGTTGAACGATGGAGGGTTTTTGTGGTTTGAATTTTAGGCCTGCCCACTCAGTGTTCATTTCTGATCAGCATTTTCGCCAAAAACCCGCCATTCATTCCCACCCTTTTACTCTAGTCCCTCCAAATTCCCTCTGTGACGCCAACCGCTCACATTGCAACCATACGCTTTCTTTATTCTTGCCCTCTTTGCTAGGGTTTCATCTATTGGTCTCCATTTCCATTCCATTGCCGGAGAGCTCAATGGTCACTCCAAAGGAACTCCTATCCACACTCGAATCAGCACTTCTCGGCCCCTCGCATCCTTCTGCCGCTCAGAGGGTCGAGCTCTTGCATGCGATTCGCAGCTTACTTCCCTCTTTTCGTTCTCTCCTCTCCTATCCGGTACGCGATTCGAGGATCATTTTGTTGTTCCATTGTTTTTATGATAGAAATTACGGGTAGTGTTGTGAACTCTAGGTGGTACCAAGAAACTGGGGGATGCTTAGCATAATATTGTTTTTGGTAGTTGGTTTTGCTTGAATTTACTTCGGACGTGATTTAGTGTTTTATGTGCTTGTAGCCTCCAAAGCCCTCTGATCGAAGTCAAGTACAATCAAAATCAGTTAGACTTCCGGATTCTCCGCCTCTCTCTCTCGATGAACAGGATGTACAGATTGTGAGTTCTCGTAATTATTTTTCAGTATTCTGCTTCTTACTTTGTTGGCTGTACCTTAGGCCAAATTGACGCGGTTGTGGCTGTAACAAAGAACTGTAGAAAGCTAGTGCTCTTTATCTACGCTTGATGGATAATTAGAACATTAGTTTCGCCGTAAGGAACTATGGAATAGGTTGCAGAGTGTGGGGAAAGCAGTGGGCCTACAACTATTACTGCATGAGAGTTTATTAATCAATGTTCAATTTTGAAACCTTAGTCACAGTTATTTCTGGCAAAAATGGATGCCATATGTCACTGTTGATACGTGACGAGAAATAACCTTTTTGAGATAAGGATTAGGGCTAGTCAAGGTTATGTCTTGTAATCTTTACCTTTTCTGTTCATTGTTAACTGTCAAATGAGTGTACTTGAAATGTAAACTACATGTCTAATTTATTGTAATGATCTTTCTGCTTGTACACACAAATGTAGTTTGTGCATTCCAATAATTAATGTCTGAGAATGATAAGGAGCAGGCATTTGTTGTTCATCTTTACCTGTTACACTTGCCTTGCGTTTTATAAATTCAAGGCGTGTTGTGATAGTAATGTCGTGGAATATTAAATATTTTCTCTTAAGATATTTTATCATGATATAATTTGAGTTAATAGTTGTATCTTTCTTAGATAAATAATGTTATATATCTGTTAAGATTTGGATACATAACACTGTAACTGAATATTTTTGAATATATCAACGGAAGCTTATTATTACATTGATCAAAGCCTATTCCCTCAAACCAAGTATGATCTAACTAGATGCTTCTAAATTAATGTTGTGAAGATGGAAATTCATGAAGTAGAAGAAAGAATGATAGATGTGAAAGCAAAATGAGTGGAATTGAGTTGAATTCTTGATCACTGGATGTTTGGGTATTTGAGTATCGCAACATTGGTAACATTTTCTAGGCTTGAGATAAATTTTCTCTCTTCTGTTAAAGTTTGATGGGCAATTATTGAGCCAAGTTGGATCATGCTCTCATAAATTTGTGGAGCAATATTTCTTAGCTCAACTTCATTAGGCATAAATCATTTCAAGCATTTTGTTGAACAGGCTATTGATTTTATTAGAATGGCAATTGAGTGATTTCTTCATTCTTCCCTTTGCTTTTTCTGTAATGTCTTATTTTGTCCTTTATGCCATGTTATTACTTGTGACTTACGTATCATATGCTTACTACTAAAAAGTCGTTTATTGATATTGACTTTGATGATGAATAGGCTCTCAAGTTGAGTGATGACCTCCATCTCAATGAAATTGACTGTGTTCGATTGCTTGTTTTGGCTAATCAAGAGGTAATTTCTGCTGTTCCTTTTCATCATTAAATTTCATTCACCTCCTCATATTATGTTGGTTATGTTTAATATATTTTATTATCTATATATGTAAAAATATAAATTTGTTCTTTATTTGTAGTGGGGTTTAATGGGAAGAGAACCGCTAGAAATTGTGCGCCTTGCATCAGGACTCTGGTATACTGAAAGAAGGGATTTAATAACATCTCTCCATTTGCTGTTTAGGGTATCTTCTCACTACTCAAGTAGTCATATATTCATTTGGTGTTTGCTCTTTCTTTTTTTCCCTTCCTCTTTAATGTTATATTGGCTTGACGTTCTTTCCTTTTTCAGGCTGTGGTTCTTGATCAAGGCTTGGAAGAAGATTTATTGTCTGACATTCAGAAATACTTGGAAGATCTCATAAACTCTGGACTTAGACAACGTTTCATATCTCTAATTAAGGTTTGCTTTTTGTGAATTTATTATTTTTCTTTGGACCTTTGTGTATTCAACTATGACATTAGCTTGTAGCAAGGATATTCATGCAACTGTTTTGGCCCTGCTTAGAATAGCTTCCCAAAAAGGTACTTTATTTTTAGTTTCTGGCTGTGTTTGACCAGCAGCAAATGTTGCATTTGAGCAATAGCAGGTTATATGTTTCTTTTGTGGGAAGAAAGTCAGAAATTTGAGGTTCTTTGAAGCAGAGGTAGAAAATTGTTAATTATTAAGACAAAAAAAAAAAACCTCCTCACTCAAAGTCTTGTTTCAGTCTCGGCTTTTGTAAGGCCTTGTCAGTGACAAAGGGGGATCTGGCAGTGTACAAAGGAGGATCTGGACATGAAACATACTTTTAAGGCCATTTCAATTCCCATTCTCATTTCCATTCATTTTCCTATTCTCATTCCTTTGAAAATCCTGCCAACAAACCCATCAATGCTATTAAAGCTTAAAATACTAAATAAATAAAATACATGAAAAATAAATACAAAAATTCAATAAAAATAGAAAAACTTGACTGAACTAAACTAAATGAACTCTACTAGCCCAAATATTCTCTTTGGTGGCTTCTTGACTTTGCCAATCTTAATGCCATCATGGATGCAACCTTGGAAGCCCTGTTGGATGCCACCTGTGCTCACATCACTATTGCTTGCGAGAAAAATCCATTTGAAAGCTCTGATGAGAATATCACCCGAGGAGGCTACAATGGCAAGCCAAATTGGCTTATTCACTTTGCACAAAAATATTTGAAAAAGCCAATTTTGTGGAATTGCAAAGATTGGCAGTTTTGTGGCAGAATGAAGGGTGGTAGAAAGAAGGGAGTGGTCTTTTCGAGAAAAGCTGAATGAGAGGAAGTTGTGAGTGAATGGCTTTTAATGTATTTGATGGTGAAATAGGGGAAGGAGATTTGGAATGAATAACATTATTCCTTTTTGTCCAAATGGTGTGAGTATCGATGATGACGAGATTGAATTTTTGATTATCAATGAGTGTAGAGATCAATGCTTCTGTTAACCACAGAGATATCAGAAATTTGCATGCAATGAACTTTTAGGGCGATAGTTCTTGCAAAACTGCAGTGATTGAAGATGTGATATGATCCCTTGAGTCTGACTTAACAACCTGCCTCTATTGCAGCTGCATAGTTCTTTTCACTGCCAGTAAATAGTATGAATGATTAATTAATTTCCTTTATCAAGTGCTGAATCATGTGTGCTGTTACATGAGACACATATTTTCACTGTGGTTGACATGTGCCGGCCTCCATTTTGTGGATACTGATGTGATTGGCTTTTTGAGTAACATGGCAATAACAACTTACTCTTTGCATATAACCACTTTCAGTTGCATTTTTTTCTTTTAACTTTTTAAATTGATGCATTAAAATTACTAATTAGTGTTCCTATTGATATAATCATAACTTTTGGTATTAATTCCCTTTGCTCTCTTTTAATGTACCATGTGGATGAACATTTCTATGTTTTCCTTAAGCTTTTTGGTCTGTTCTTATTTCTCTATAATTATTTTTTGGGCTAATTTTGTTCTCAATAAAGGAACTTAAAAGAGAAGAACCATCTGGCTTGGGTGGACCTCTGTCTGAGCGCTACCTTCTTGATTCAAGAGGTTCCCTTGTGGAGCGGCGAGCTGTGGTTTCAAGAGAAAGACTTATACTTGGACATTGTCTTGTCCTTTCTGTTTTGATTGTTCGGATGAGTAAGAATAGCATCATTTGGGGTGATCTAGGGCTTTAGTTGTCTTCTTTGTACTTCAATTTGCATCATAAGGATATTTCTGTCTTCAGGTTCGAAGGATGTAAAAGATATCTTTTCTGCTTTAAAAGATAGTGCTTCCGAAGTCGGTGAGAAAAATGATACTGTCAATCATCAGGTACATATTTACACTTGTTAATTTTTTAAAATTTTATATTTTATTGTTTTGCATTGCTGTTTTAGAATTTTGCTTTGTTATTACACCCTTTGTAACTGTCTCAAACATTTTAGTTGTGAAAGAAATTATGCAAACAACTTTTTTTTTTTTGTATTCCAATTTTTTGGCTTTTGTCTTGAGCTGAATTGTGCCGTGGCATAAGGAACATCATATTGCTATTTGGTGTTATTTTACTTGTGACATAATTTGCATTTCCTCATATTGAATGTAATAAAGGCATGCTTATTGATGTTCAGTGCTTCTTGTGGGCTGTTCTTTTTGTAAGGACTGATTTTCAATTATGGAAAACTTTTTCACCTTTATGTGATTGGCATCTGTGTTTTCTAATTCATTTCAGTGAAGCAAATAAGTAGAAAGCTATCACATGCTTTTCTGTTATTGAAAGAAAAAAAGGAAACAATAAGAGCTGATTTACAAAAGGCTGAAGCCAAATATCTTGAAGACAGAAAGTGAGCAATGTGGAGATGAAGTGAGCTGTGTAAAATAGATAGAAATCAATGAAAATTGCATGTTTAGAAACCGGCATAATGGAAAATCAAGTTCCTAGTTTGACATGGAATTGAGGATTTTTTTTTTTTTTGGGTTGTTAAACAAAACACTTTGCAATGTTTGGTTCATTGGTTTTAATTAATATTTGAAGCCCATATGATAGTTAAGTTAACCATGACTAAAAGATGGATAACCTCTTGGCTATACATATGGAAATTGATTCCCCCCCCCCCCCCAAAAAAAAAAGGGGATTATTAGTTTGATTTCTGAAAGACTAACAATTGAGCAATCAGGTGTACATGTTAAAAAAAATGACTGAATACAAATTTAGCTTTTCTTTTATCAAAAGATGGATGCCTTCTGCTCTATGTTGCTTCCTTACATCTCTATCCTGTCTTTTTCTGCAGATAACCTTTAGTCTTTTCTTTTCTCTTGTGATTGCATTCGTCTCAGATGGTTTAAGTACTGTGCCTGATAAAGCATCTATCCTTTCCTCTGATGCTTCCTTCAGACGAGAATTCAATGAAATTGTAAGATGAAAGATGACTACTGTTTTATGTACTGATTTTTAAGAAATTACAAGTTTATGATTTAGGATGTTTGTTGGTGGCCTTGCATGCTTTATAGGTAATGGCTGCTGGAAACAATCCAATGGTTGAGGGCTTTGTTGGTGGCATTAGGCTTGCTTGGGTGGTACATTTGATGTTAATACTAGATAGAATTGCTTCAAGGGAGTCGATTTCAAGCAGTTCATCAAATGAAATGGGTTATCTTAGTCAAGGCTTGGATGTCATTTTCTCAGAAAATGTCTTTCAGTTTTTACTGGATAAAGTTCTTCGTACTGCAGCCTACCAGGTGCATATTGTATTTGTTACCCTTTCAATATGTAAATCCTCTCAGGTTTAGTTAATAAAACATGTAAGGCATGTTTTCCTAGGATTTGGATTTGACGCACATCTTTGGAGAAGTGCGCCTTTTAATTTTTTATTAATTAACACATCATACACATCTTTTCCCATCTTCTTCATCTTCACTTTAATAATAAAAAAGAAGTGCATTTGGTGCACTCATCTAAAGAAATGCACGAGATCCATTTCCTGTTCTCCTACTTATTTTTTATGTGTGTGTATATATATGTTGAGTTGGGAAATAACTTGTATTATGCTTCAATCGCGTCAACTAAGGTAAGAATTAGTATTACCTATAGGAATATGTTATTTGAATTTAATTATTTTTTTGATTATTTTTATCCTCCATCTTCATTTATGGTTACATCTATAAACGTTCTAATATTTAGTGAAATATCAATTTTTATATTTTTTTTATACTGCTAACTGTTGAACTTTTCATGATGTACTGTGTAAAGTCAGACATTATGTTTGAGATTTTTTCTCATATTTTCATAATTTTACTTCATCAACGCAAGGTAATAGTTCATTTTTCCACAGAATGATGATGAGGATATGATTTATATGTTCAATGCTTATCTTCACAAGTTGATTACTTGCTTCTTGTCTAATCCACATGCCAGAGACAAGGTCAGTTTATCATTTCACTTGGCTATATATTGAATAGAACATGTTGTATTAATGATGGAATGCACAAATCAGAGTTTGTGGATGAACTACTTTGTTATTGTTTAGAGATATTAATAATTGAAGTAAGTAATTTTTACTGTTTGACATATTGGATTTAATTTTGATGTCTGAAATGCACACATGCACGTTTGCATAAAAAAAAAAATTGGTTTGGACTTTTTGCAAAATATAAACCTCCGGTTCTGTTTGTTTTGGCCTTCATGATATTTCATTGCAAACAGTTTTGCTTATACTCCAGCAGATAAAAGAATCCAAGGACAGGGCCATGAGTATGCTTAGTCCATATCGTGTTGGTGGATCACATGATTTTGTGCAGGAGCAGAGCTCAAGTTCTCTGCAGGGCACTGAAGCCAGCCCAACACCATTTGTTTCCATCTTGGAGTTTGTTAGTGAAATTTATCAGGTCTGTTTCATCAAGAAGCAATAGATTTAGTAGAATGTATTTACTCTTAACATACAAACAAATCATGATAGATCTGACAAGATTAGTAGTTGATATCTGTTAATCTGTTGATTGATTTATTGCTGTTCTTAGATCTTCATTCCATCTAGTTATACTGACTAATCCTTTATGGTTACTTGTTTTAGTGAAGAAAATGTGGACAAACCTTTGTTGTTGATCTGCTTTTTTATTGCTGAGTTCTCAATGAAATCTTTGAATGGTTAATATTCATTTGATTGGCTTTTATTTTGATCATTAATTTATTACTAAATAGACTTTCATTAAGTTATCAGAAAGAACCAGAGCTCTTGTCTGGAAATGAGGTTTTATGGACATTTGTAACTTTTTCTGGAGAGGACCATACAAATTTTCAAACGCTTGTGGCTTTCCTGAATATGCTGAGCACCTTGGTAAGAGAATTTTCTGATTGTTAGAAATTGGAGATCTCAATCTTGTCCACCAACTTTCATTATATCCTGTCATTTGTTTTCATATTGTAAACTCCTTTTTCAGGCGTTGAGTCAGGAAGGTGCCTCAAAAGTTTATGAGTTACTGCGAGGGAACGCATTCCGTTCAATTGGGTGGAGCACTTTGTTTGAATGCTTAGCAATCTATGATGAGAAATTTAAACAGTCCCTTCAGACTGCTGGGGCAATGTTGCCTGAAATTCAGGAGGGGGATGCAAAAGCTCTTGTGGCATATTTGAATGTTCTTATGAAGGTTTGACTTTAACTATTATTTGTTATATCAGTTTGTGTTTAGTTGTATTTTAGGGTGCACTTGGAAGTTTAGAATAGAATGCATGGAATGGTTATTTGATGAAATGGGATGGAAAGGAGTGGAATAGAATGAAACATTCCATTATTTGGGAGTTTTATGGGAGGAAGGACTCTCATCTAATTATTAATTATTGTTTGAGAGTTATTATACAATTAATGGAGTGAAATGAATTAAAACTTTTTTCTTAGAATATTATACTTTTGGGTTAATTTTGATGGTAGCTTATGAATATATATATTTTTTGTTTTCTAAACATTCATGCCTATGGTGAGCTTGGGCTGACTTGTTGAATTCTGCCAACAAATTGAGTCTAAGATATAGTTTATATGGGACGGAAGGAATTTGTTGTATTATTACTTCTGCCCAAAAAAAAAAAAAATTGTAGAGTTTCCTTTTTGTCATGAATGTTTAGAGCTTGGGTTAACTTGATTTACATCTAATGCGCCCATAACTAAGGGGTTATTTTCTAGACTTTTGAATGTTAGGGCAATTGTTTGAGGGTTAATTTTTTTTCATTTTTATTGAGCATTGTGATTCCCTGAGCGTGGTAAGTCATTTAAACTAAACTACCTCACTCACTCATCCTGATATTTCTTTCCCTGTGAGTGTGGGAAGTGAATTCTGGTATCTCCTTGTGACAGCCATTGGGAGGCTGTGGGTTCTTATTCTTAGATGCATCAAGGTGATACAACACTCTGACACACATTGCCACAGATTGAAGCTGAGGGACATAGGGAGAAAATGACAGAATAGAAGGGGGAGAGAAGGGAGACGGAAAACAAAGAGGGAGGAGGAAAAGTGAGGGAACACAGAACTGGATAGGAATAGAGTAGTGGGGAGAAAAAGGGAGGGAGACAGAATGAAGAGATTGGAGGAGTCACTCAAACATTTTCGTTCATCAAAATCCATGTCTGACCATAGTGGCTTTTTTATAGAAGCCATAGCTAAGGTTTCCTTCTTTTGAATGAAACATAAACACTAAAATATAAGGTTTCCTCCTCTTTAAGGAAACACCTACTTGTATCCCATTTAATGCATGAAATGATAAAACAAGCCCCTTGCTAAATAAAGTAAAAAAAAAAAAACAGAAAGTAATAAAATATAAAATTATAGATAGATTTCCTTCTATAGGAGGTTATAGCGATAAGGAATATACCAAGGATATGTTATGAGGGAAGGGGAAGAAGAAGAAGGAGAGAAAATGACTATTCCATTCATAAAAACATCCGAAATAGGTAGGGCACAGCATATATACCCTAAACCTAGACAAGTGTTAGGAAGGGTCCCACACTGTCAATATCTTCCTACAATTCAGCAACATATGAAAAGGCAATAATAACAGAACACAGAGACAATAAAGCCCTTAAATAAAGGATAACATATAACAATACTCCCCCCCTAAAGACATCCTTGTCCACAAGGATGGGAGCAGTGGAAGGAGTAGCAACATTGAAGTGAGGAAATTGTTGCTTGATGGCTGAAAGATCTTCCCAAGTGGCATCTTCTGGTTGGGAAAACTTCCAACGAATCAAAACTTGAGTGACGGGCAAATGATGGCGATTAACTATCTTCCTGCCTAAGATTTCTTCTAGTTCCTACAAAAATTGGCCTTGATCATCAACTGGTGGCAAAGTAGAGCGAAGGGGAACATTCAGACTAACAAATTTTTTTAACAAAGAAACATGAAACACTGGATGAACGTGGGTGTGGGGAGATAAGCCCAACTCGTATGCAATAGCTCCAATGCGTCTCACTACTTGTGAAGGCCCAAAGTAACAGGCAACCAATTTATGTAGTGAAGAATTGTTCAATAAGTTCTTTTGAAAGGGATGCAATTTGAGAAAAACCATATTGCCCACATCGAATTGATGCTTGGAACGGCGTTTATTGGCTTGCTACCTCATCCGATGTTGTGCTTTCAACAAATGTTGCTTCAGCAGTTGTAATGTAAGCTCTTGAGCTATGCAAGTCCTATCAATCGTCTCATTAGTGGAGTCACCCGCTATATAAGGTAAATGGGTAGGAGGTATACCGTAGACCGCTTCAAAAGGAGTCATCCCAATTGAGGAATGATAGGTGGTGTTATACCACAACTCAGCTAAAGAAAGCCCACTTAGATCATTGTTTTGGAAAATCACTTGTCATGCAACGGAGATAGCACTCCAAACAACGATTAAGTACTTCTGTTTGGCTGTCAGTTTTGGGGATGATAAGCGGAAGAAAAATGCAACTTAACATAATACAATCGAGATAATTCCTTCCAAAGCTTACCACAGGAAACTGGATCCCAGTCTGAAACAATGGATTAGGGAAGCCATGTAACTTAACAACATTATTCATAAATGTATTAGCAACATCCATGGCAATAAAGGGGTGCTTCAAAGCCATAAAGTGGGCAGCCTTAGATAGGCGATCAACATCTACCAAAATAGTGGTCTTAGAATAAGACTTAGGAAGGCCGCTAATAAAGTCCATGGAGAGTTCAGACCAAACATGTTCGGGTACAGGTAATGGTTGGAGAAGTCCGGGGGAGGCTACCAACTCTGGCTTAAAGCATTGACAAATGGTGCATTGACACACATAGTTGCGAACATCTCGCTCCATTCCCTTCTGATAAAAGAAAGAAGCTAATCTTTTATAAGTTGGAGTCATACCCGAATGTTTGCCTTTAGCATCACCATGAAAGAAGGGAAGTAAATCCTCTCTAAGCTTACGATCAGCCCCTACCACGAGTTTACCCTTTCGCTTCAACAAGTGGTGTTGCCAAGTATACTGAGAGTTGGACAAAGGATCATGTTCGAGATCCTTAATTAGGCCTTGTAACTGATCATCAAGAAGCCAAGAGTCACGCACTCGATCATATAAAGGAGATATAAGCAGAGAAATAGCCAAACAGCCCCCACTCGAGCATCTAGAAAGAGCATCAGCTGCTATATTATCACATCCTTTACGGTAGACTATATCATAATTGAGACACCATAGTTTATGAAGCCATTTGCACTGTTCTTGACTTAAATCTTGCTGCTCCAACAGATGTTTCAAGGGCAAGTGGTCTGTTTTGATGATGAATTTCCTTCCCTAAAGGTATGAGCGCCATTGCTTGACAGCAAAGACAATAGCTTGCAGTTCACGCTCATAAGCGGATAATTGTCTCTTGCAATTAGAAAGGGCTTTGCCAGCAAAAGCTAATGGATGGCTTTGTTGAGATAAAATTGCTCCCAAACCATGCCTTGAAGCATCAGTCTCAGAGACAAGTTTCATTAAAGTTTGGGAGAGCAAGGACTGGAGACATCATAGCCTTCTTAAGGGACTCAAAAGCTGTTTGAGCTTGAGGGGACCAGACAAATCGCTCGTGCTTCTGCAACAATGCTGTGAGAGGGCTACAAATAGAACCATAACTCTTGACAAAGCGTCGGTAATACCCAGTGAGACCAAGGAAACCCCTTAATTCCTTGACCGAAGAGGGAGTAGGCCACGAAGCTATTGCTTCTAACTTCTTGGGGTCTGCCTGAATGCCATTTGCGGTGATGACATGTTCAAGATAATCCATTTGGCTTGTAGCAAAAGTGCACTTTGAGGCTTTGGCAAACAATTGATGATGTCGTAATAGTGATAATGTGGCCTTCAAATGGTCTAAGTGAGTTGCCCAATTGCTGCTGTAAACTGAAATATTATCAAAGAAGACTAAAAGGAATTTCCGCAAGAATGGGCGGAAAACTGAGTTCATGAGACTCTGAAAGGTAGCAGGAGTATTTGTGAAGCCAAATGGCATTACCGTAAATTCATACAAGCCATCATGAGTGTGAAAAGTAGTTTTTGCAATGTCGCCTTCATTCATTCTGATTTGATGATAACTTGCTCGTAAATCCAATTTAGAAAAAAATTGAGCTCCTGTCGGTTCATCTAGGAGTTCCTCTATAATTGGAATTGGAATTGGAACAACATTGCATAATTAAAAGCTGGCGATTGTCGGCGACTGTGATGTGAAATCATTGTCTTTCATGAATAGGTAATCAAAGTCTTTTAGCCATCTTAGAATCGAAAACATTGTGAGTGCTTCTTGTGTCAATGAGAATAAGGACCTATTGATGCTTGACTCGCCCCTGTAGACGTAAGGTGGAAACACCGTCTCTGCCTTCCATAGCGTTAATGGTGCCCGTGGCTTCTTCAGGCTCAATGTCGTCTCAGGCATCTTCAAAAGCTTCATGATCATCTTCAACAAGCAAGACATAAAGTTGGGAGTCCTTGCACTTATGATCACTGCTCTATCGATCGCCGCACCAGTAGTAGAGGCCCAGACGCCTGTGTTCATCCATGTCACGTTTGGAAGCTTAGAAGAGGCCGATGGCGAGGCAGCTGTTGGAGGTCTAATTTTGGGCTTCTTAGGTAATGGGCCCATGGATGAAGTAACTTTAGAAAGGGGGTCTGACTCAAGACTCAAGTGGATTGATAAAGGAACCTGAGAAGAGTTGGCTGCTTGAAACACAAACGATGGTGCGAAATAGCGCGATCAGGACGCAGAGGCAGGACGGCGTGCAAGCTTCATGGTGCTGGCTAGGGACCTGGGTTGAAAACTTAGAATGCTTTGCTGGACATCACTCCTCAGTCCACTGATGAAACAATTCATCGCAGCATCATCAGGTAAGTCCACCTCTGTCAAAAGCTCATCAAACTTCTCCTTATTCCTTGATAGAATCACCCATCTGAAGCTTCTTAATGGCGATCATGGGGTTGTCATCTTTAATATCATCGAACTTAGTCTCCATCTCCTTGAAATAATCATCCCAAGAAATATCGGATAACTACCTCTGTTTCACGAAAGCCAAATGCCAACGCAGAGCTCGTTTCTCCAAGTGAATGCTTCTGAGTTGCAGGCGGTGCTCGATAGGCGTTTCATCAATAGAAAAGAATTGACGACAACGGTAAGCCCATCCTCGAAAATTAGTACCATCAAATTTTGGGAATGAGATGCGGCTGTGTTTTGTTTGGGACCGAATAATGTGAAGGTGGAGTGGGAAGAAGACCTTGGAATGAACCAAACTGAAGGGGTGGGGTGAAAATAGGTGGTGGGGGTGCAGAAGCTTAGAGTGTCGTTGGTCTGGATACTTAGGGTGGTAGAAGAGGTGGAAGAGGGACAAATATGGCCTGGGACGATGGGGAAATTGTAGGCTTGGGGGGCAGAGGAGGAGGTGCATGGGAAGGTTCACCTATTTCAAAGGTGGGGAGGCGAGGAGATTGAGTGGTCAGAATTGAGAGCTTGGTTGAGATGTCTGAAAGTTGATTCAAAAACTGGGTTAAGATTTATTTAATCTTGGTTATATGGTCGGTGTTTTGATGGACTAGGGTAGATTGCGTTTCAAGACTATGTTCTAAATCAATGAGTCGTTTAGTTGAGGACTGTGTCTCTGGTGGAGAAGAAGAAGGAGAGAAAATGACTATTCCATTCATAAAAACATCCGAGATAGGTAGGGCACAACATATATACCCTAACCCTAGACAAGTGTTAGGGAGGGTCCCACACTATCAATATCTTCTTAGAATTCAGCAACATATGAAAAGGCAATAATCACAGAACACAAAAAGACAATAAAGACCTTAGATAAAGCGATAACATATAACAGGATGATACTCAAATTGTTGGGTATGGCAATGAAGATTGGGTTGGATGCTTGATTGATTGACACTCGACTTCAAGATATTGTGTATTTATTGGTGGAAACTTAATTTCTTGAAAAAGCAAGAAGCAAAATGTAGTTGCTAGGTCTAGTTCCTAATTGTTATCATGGGCTCCCTCAAGTTGCAAATAGGCACAGGAGTAAGGCTTTGGGTATATGTTTTAGGTGGTGTTAGAATGAGAGTGGGGAAAAATTAGTTATCGTTAGAGTGAGAGAGAGCAAGGAATTTAGAGGTTATGTTAGATCAATAGTCATGGGTTTTTGTTTTCCCCCTAATTGTGACTAAGCACTATCATTACCTTTGCTTCATCTCTAATTCTTTCACTTTTTAGAGCAGCTTCTTAACCTTCTCCTTTGCTGTTGTTTCAATTTCTGTTCCCATCTCTTTGTGGCCTGAACATTGATGGTTCTCTTTTGTGTTTTTCACAGCACTCTTCCGTTTTAAGAACTAAAACTTCCATTGTTGAGTTTAAAGTGAAATACATGAAGAAGTTTCACCTAATTTGTGAAAAATCTATTTGTAGCATTTTCATATTGAACCTAGACCCTTTGTTTATGTTAATGTGGCAACTACTTGTTTCTTTGTGGAATGTGCAATACATTCCCTTTTATTTATTTATTTTTCTTTAATGGCAAGGGATAGTGATTTTCATATCATCTATTGTCTGGGGTACAGGTTGTGGAATATGGGAACCCTATTGAAAGGAAAAATTGGTTTCCTGATATTGAGCCATTGTTCAAGCTTCTTAGTTATGAAAGTGTGCCTCCTTATCTGAAGGTATAACAATTTTATGTCAAGGTTCTTATTGAAATTCTTGCATTGTTTGTCTAACAAGCATATTTTGTGGAAGTAGGGTGCTTTGAGGAATACAATAGCTACATTTGTTCGTGTTTCTCCATTATTGAAAGATAGCATTTGGACCTATCTTGAGCAATATGATCTACCTGTAGTTGTTGGGCCTCATTTACAGGATGGTCCACAACTTATGGCTACTCAGGTTGGTTTTTTGGACTTAAGTGTTCTCAATGTACCTTAGAAAATATTTCTATTAAGAAGTATCATTTTGTTTCTTTACTTCCTTTTTGCTTCTCGCAACTTCTCATTGGTCTTGTGCATTCATGTTATCACATTGTGTGAAAAAGATTGATCAATATTGAAATCTTTGTATAATATTACCTATGTATTCACTTGCCCTGTGTGCATAATAATTAGACTAGGTCATTAAAACAAAATTATGGTTAGACCTAGTGATTATTAAATATTAAATGTAAATATTCATTATTAATATTTTGTTGTTCTAGGGGATTGGGTAGAATCTGTTTTAATTAGATATTATTCCTTAGGATTATTGATCGATTCTAGTCCCTTATTTGCAGAGAGATTATCTCTCCCATTCCCATATGTATGCATTTGACACTCTTTGATCAACAGTTGTAGAAGTAGATTGCTCATTCACTACATGGTATGTTGGGGTAAACCAAAAAAGTTTGGGTAGAGCCGGATCTAAATGTTGGCTAGGTAAGCGTCTTGTAGTAAGAGGAGTAGTTATGAACCTTGTAGACTATCCCCATGGGGGTGGTGAAGGGAGGCCCCTAATTGGTAAAAAAAAAAAACCCGCAACTCCTTGGGGTTATCTTGCACTTGGAAGAAGTAGAAAAAGGAAAAACTATAGGAATAATTTGATTCTTCGTCGCTATTAGAGCTGATTGCTTCTCCAATAAATTTGACGCTGAGCACGATTTAGAAAGCATTGCAGAAGAGTCGTACCCTAGTTGCCCGCCTTCACTAATGACGCAGAATGATGGGTCCTTGTTGTATGATTTAAACAAGGTTGGTGGCCCCTTCGGGTTGACTACTAACCACGATGGATCTTAGATGCAAATCGTGGCTATGAAATTAACCGGCAAAAAATTATCGCTTATGGGCTTAGGCCGTGAAACTTGCTGTTGGAGGTAGGGGTAAGATGGGTTTCTTTGATGGCTCATCAAAAATCCTAGATGAATAGAAAGTTGAAGAAAGGCAATGGTGGTGCACTAGCAATTCTTTGGTCTTATTATGGCTTATTAACGCAATGATGTTGAATGTTTAGTAAAGCTTATGTTTTTACCTTCTGCATGAGATATGGGTGGCTGTGTGAGACTCTTATTTTGATGGAAAAGACTTAGCATGCCTTTATGAACTCAAAAGCAAGGCATGGACCATTCAACAAGGTGAATGAGACATTATTGCCTTCTAGTTGGAGCTCTCTATGTTGTGGGAGGAACTTGATCTATTGACCGAGGTGGAATGGTCAAGTGCTAGTGACGCAACTCGCTACAAGGAGCAAATTGAAAGTGAATGTGTCTTTCAATTTCTTGCTTGGTTACATCAATCATTAGATGATCTGAGGACATATCCACAATAAATCACTCCTTCCTTCAACAAGAGAAGTATTCTCTGAGGCACGTTGTGAGGCTTCAAGACGTAAGGTAATGCTCTCTAGTATTGTTCCCTATTCTTCACCATTTCTAGACCCTATTGCACTTGTTGGCAAAGGTGCAAATGCTAATCATAGAAGTCAAAAGGGGAAGGTGTGGTGTGAACATTGCAAGAAATAGGGGCATGCTCATGAGACATGCTAGGATTTGTGTGGAAAACTACCAGATTGGAAGCCTTGAAAGGGAAAGACAAAAGGATATTAGACTTCTTATGACAGTCTACAAGAGAAGACCGACTCCAAGTCAATGCCTCAAATAGACAAAGAACAGCTAGGTAAGGTGATTGAAATGCTTAACGTGATTCAAAAGATTGAGCAGAACCAAAAGCCAAGTCACACTGCATCTATAGTGCACAAAGGTAATTGTGCTTTACTTACTACTACGAGTAATTTCAAATGGATTGTTCATACTAGAGCCACAAATTATATGACATTAGATTCTAAGTTGTTTAGTTCCTACATTCCATGTGCTGGAAGTGAAACAATCAAGATTGCTAATGGGTTTGATCCATCTATAGTTGGTAAAGGAAATGTTATTATTTTTGAAGTTATGAAGTTAGAAGATGTACTTCATGTTCCTTACCTAGCATGCAATTTATTGTCTATTGGTAAATTGACAAAGCAAGCACAGTATTGGGCTTATTTTTATTCTACTCATTGTATTTTTCAAGACCTCATATTGAGAAAGTGGCAAAGAAACGATAACAAACCTTGTTGGTAGCCAAAAGATCAGGAAACTAAATGAAAATCAAATTATAAGACACTTTTAGACAAAATCTCACTTGCTAATAAATCTTATTAAATACACTTTACAACCTTATCTTTTTAAAGAAAAAATATAAACTTTCAAAAATACCCATCATTTAATATATTGAAAAGAGAAAGGATGAAAATTAAGTATAGAGAGAGAATGGGTAATATTGGAATTGGTGCATTTAAAAAAACCTTAATTTGTACAAAGTGTTATTATTATTATTTTTTTTTTTTTGAGATAGAGACTTTTTCAAAAGTGCCTTATAATTTGAGTAAGATATTAATAAAAATAGACAGATAATCTTGCTAACACTACCCTTCATTTAGGTGGATAGAAATTTAACATTCCTAATGTGTAATTGATTGGCAACTATGATACTGTTATTAGAGTCCTTGAGAAATAGGCAATGAATAAGGAACAACAACAAACCTTTGTCCTACTATGTAGGCAAAGGATAAGAAAATTAAATGAAATCAAATATGAACATAATTATCTAAAAATCACCAAGTGAATAAAATAAGATATTGCTAAAAAGTGTTAGAGATCATATTTGTCGTCAAACTATACCCTCAGGTGCGCCTAATAATCTAAACTCAATTTTGGTTCAATGCACCTCTTAAATGTTAAAAAATGGAACAATTTTGCCCTTGATGTTAAGTTCAATAATGCTATTTGTTAAGTAATGAGTTGGACTTGATCGCTTGACTCTTTTTGCTAACATGTCATGCTATATGGAGGATGCGTTAGGCATTCAATCCCTAAAAAATACAAGAAAATCACAATAATGGGTTTTCCATTAAACCAAAAAAAAAAAAAGACCTCCATTCCTCTCTTTCAGCTCCTTCACGTTATAGCCCATGATCGTCTAACAAGCCTCCATAACTAGCCCACACAATTGGAACCCTTTCAATCCATTATTCAATTAGTCATCTTTACTCTTCGTTCCAATCTCTTCCTCCTCCTTCATCATTCCCTTGTGTTTATGGGTCTTGATCTCTACCTCCTTTGCTCTTGGAACCTTCTTAGCACTCAATTCAACCTCAACCATTCTTTGCTCTCTTCAACCCTCTATAGAATGAATTCCAAATGAAAAGTTAGAGCGGTGAAGTAAAATTGAAGCATTAAATTTTGAACTCTTATATAAATGAGCAGTTGGCCTTAAATTGCTTATTTGGAAACGTTTTAGAGAAGAAAAAACACCTTCCGTTGTTGTCAATGGAGCTTTCGGATATGGGTTTTGAAGAATAAGAAATGATTTTGCCATCGATGAAGCTTTCTTCCTCCTCGTCCTCCTCCTTGTAGAAGCGTGTTCTAATTAACCTAGCTTTCATGCTCCTTGAAATCGAACCTCACCTAACCCAGTGTGAACTTTGCTGCTTGCACTCACCATTTGTGTTCTCAAATCAGACTTGTGCTCAAGCTTCTCACACATCGCCATTGCCGTACATTGCCTCCTTGCTCCCTCATCTGTATCATTGCCTTTACCTCAAGCTTCAAGCTTTGCTTTAGGTTCATTACCTTTGCTTCATGTTCTCAAAATGGAGTTCATTTCGAGATTTGAGATAGAGCTGGTAATTTGGATCAAGGCTGACGGGCTAGCTCGAGCAAGCTTGAAAAATTTAGTGTCGAGCTTAGTAAAATTGCACTTTTTTTTTAATGTTTGGGCCAAGCCCAATTGAGTTTGAGCTTCACCCAAATACTTGAATAACAATTTAAGTTTTATATAATATATTAAATATTAAGAGACCATATATTTGAGTGTAGATATTTTATTAAAAAAAATTAAAATATTAAAATTGTTACATATATTTATTCTTAATCTATAAAATATCTTATAATAATATTTAAAATGTATTTTAATCTTGATTTTTAGACTTTATGACCCACAATTGTTTTCTTAAAGTGAGTCTTCTACATTTTTTTAAGTTTCAAAAATTATATTTTATATTTTTCTTAATAATAAAAATAATTAATTGTGAAGTAACAGTTGAAATTTGTTTTTGAAAAATGATTTTGTTTTGGACAATTCTAGGCTAGCTTAAAGCTCGGGAGTGTTAGGGTTTGGCTTGGCTATATGTTTTTTTTTTTTTTTAAAGTAAGTTCAGGGTTATTTGTGCTATAGCCAGAATAAGTTTGGCTTACTCGAGTTACTAGCTCTAATATGAGATGATGCACTAATAGAGAGAGGGGGTGAGATGATGAGGTAGAGTGGATGTAGAAGAATTTTAAGTCACCTTACAAGGCATGTCATATAAGCAAGATAAAAAATACATTAGATGATGCCTATATTATTTTGTGGGTCCCACTGTTATTTAATGGATGTTTCTTTCCTCTTTGCTATTGTTTGCATGAGATTGCTTCATTTTGTTCATTGAAAAATGGAGTACATATATAGATGTAAGAGGGATGACCAAATCTAATTGTATTAGGCAAATAATCCGAAAACAGGAAAATCCAATGTTTGGGGATATAAAAATAAATAGAAAATATCCTAATAACCAGGTTATATTAGGTAACTTAGCTTAGACTCTTTTGATGGGCATAAGAGACAGCAAGCCCACTTCAAAGACTCCCTCTCAAGCTGGCGAATAGATATTAATCATTTCTAGCTTGCTTTTAAATCCTTCGAGCTTGTCTTGAATCAATGATTTTGTCGCCACACTAGCAATCTGTTGGCTTGACGGAATATATGCTAAATCAATTATTTTGTTTTCAATTTTTCCCCTAATGAAGTGGGGATCAACCATGTTTTATTCGATCATGTTGG